GCATCCTCCATAGTAGAGGGGTGTACTTGCTTCACATGTATCTTTAGTTGTGGACTGTCCAAGGCATCTACAAACTGATCCCTCAGTAACAACTTGAGGAGATTGAGTGGTGCAGTTTGGTACACCTTGTGTGCCATACTTTCCAAGTCCTGTGTCAGCTCTTCCAGGCTATCCCCTTTAGCACGGACTCTCGTCCTAAACCTAGCCCTGTAGACTTCCGACTGATTTTGGTTTCTGTACCTCAGTTTTAGAGCCGCTATCAGTGCTCTATAGTTGTGCCTGTCGTCTGCTGACAACTGTCCAAGTATTTCCAGTGGTTGTCCCTTCAAGTTTGTTGCCAGATATACTGCTTTCTGCTCCTCTGTCCATCCATTCATCTCTGCCAGTAGCTCAAATTGTGCTCTATATGCTTCCCACGGTGCCTTTCCATCGAATTCCCGTGGCTTCCTTCGTACTGGATCACTGCTATTACTAACATTCATATCTGGGATGTGACTCCTAACAGGACTGAAGATGTTTGCATTAGGGTTTAGCTGTGGAGTCTGGAAGGGGCTTGCCATTGTCTGGGGCTGATTAAGTCGATGGTTAATGTATCCTCCTTGTGTACAAGACAATAGATCATCCTTTAATGTATCTAATTCGCTTTTACTTTTACTAATGTTTTCCATTTGTACTTCTTGCCACTGTTGTTGACTTTCCTGTAGTTGCTGCTGACTTTCTTCCTGTTTCCTTTCTTGTTCCAGTTGCCACTGCTGTAGTCTTCTTGTTTCTTTTCTTTTCCTCCAACAACTGCTGTAATCTCTCCTCTTGTTATTTTTCTCGTTCTTCTTGTTTCTTTTACTGCTCTTGTATTGCTGCCATCAAGTCTGCTAAGCTGTAGTTTGATTTGCCACTTCTCGTTTCCATTTTTTTTTCCGTCCCATTCTCTGGCACCAATTTGTTACGCCTCCGTTTGTTAGTTAATTTTCCGTAGAAATTCTTTCGGAAGAAACTTTAGCGATACAAGTCCTTTCTTAAATAAAACTGGTTTATTCTTTCTGAATACAACTTTACAATACACTTAATTTCAACAGTCGCGCTATAACAAATGCTATAATTTACAACGAACATTTCACGTGCTCGACTCAACAATACTCTGTCCGCAGTTCAATTACACATTGTTGCCGTCACGTCTTGACCGTATTATATATACAAGACTACCGCATATATAGTAAACACTAGAGCATTCAGGAAGCTTCGAGAATATGACGCGTTACTAGTGTCACGTGACCTCCGCTGTCGTAACAATATTAATTGTTTAGCGAATTCAATGTGCTGTTGCCAGTGGCAGGGCAAATAAGATTTTACGTTATCAGTAGAAGTATTAAATAAAAGTCTGTTTGCTTGTTTGAAGTTAAGCACAAATCTACACATTGCCCAGCATGAGTATCGAAAACCGGTTTCTAGCGCTGTAAGTCCGCAAACATACCGCTATGTTACTGGGGGAGAGGGCAAATAAAAATGAAAAGAGAACATAATTTCATGTTATAAGACATTGGTTAGGCTTTATTTTCAGCATTGTGTACAGTCTTTTGACTCTTTATCTTAGGAAGGACATTTAAACTGAATTGTTGGAAAGGTTCAGAGGAAAGCTACTGGAATGATACCTGGGATAGAAAAGTTGTCATATAAGTACAGGTTAAAATATATGAAATTGCTTTCTCTTGAAAAAAAAAAGAGTTATAGTGGATGTTATTGAGGTGTTAAGATTATTAAGGGAATTGATAGTGTTAATACTTAATGGTGATAATGGTAAGATTAAAGGACACAAATGTAGTTTGGTAGGATAGGAATCATCCTCAGCTAAGACAACCTTATTTTTCTAACACGGTTATTGGCCTTTGAAATGGGTTGCCATCAGATGTGGTTATTTTAAGGGAAAGTTTGACAAGTATTTGAATGATAAGGGTTGATTTTGAATGTTTTATATTTGTTTTAAAGTTTAATCTGGTAGATGGAATGACCTAGATGGACCAACAGATCCCTTGTTGTCCATAAAGTATATGTATGTATGTATGTGTGTGTATATCATTTCTTCTCACGATATTTTTGGATAATTATTTATAGCTGAGGAAACTACATTAATAATATATTCGATTAACGTGCACTTAGGAATGTTGAAAACATCTGTACGGTATATAAAAATCGCATGTAATTTACCCACGAGTTTGTTCATTAGTTTTACGCAAAACTACACAATAGTTAGCTTTTCCCAGTCTTTCAAGGGGAATTTAGCCTTAGACTGTAGCGCCTTAACGCCTAAATTTACCGTTGATTCATTTGGAGAACACAGACACGAGATGTAAATTTTAGCAAAAAGACGAAAATGGTTCTATCTCTTACAAATTAATAATAATTTTTTTCTTGTTGTCCCTCTGTGACTTAGTGGTAAGTCTGAAGGCTTATAACGCTAAAAATTGGGTTTCGATACTCGCAGTAGGCAGAATATAGATAGAACATTGTGTAGCTTTGCGATTAACAAAAAAACATCTTAATTTTTATAGCACAAATTCAATTATGCTTGATATTTTTTTTCTAGATGAACATGACCAATTACACCTTTATGAATAAATTATCGTAATCATTATTTCAGCTTACTCCTTCATCGATATGGTGCAGTATTTACAGTGAGGTTTTGTTTGCTAAATACCACGCTAAGCTACTTACGGGTTACTTATACCAGCCGTCCCTAATTCAAAAGTAATATATCATACAATGTAGCTAGTCAACATCACCCACTTCCAACTTTTCGGCTACTGTTTTATCAACAAATAATGGGATTGACAC